AAATAATGTGTGATCTCCTTGACTCTGTTTATATCCCATTGCTAGCATCACTTTGGCAAATCTCTTGAACCAAGTTCTAAGAGACTGTTTAAGGCCATATAAAGCTTTTTTCAGCCTGCATACTTTGTTTGCTTCTAGATGACTTTCAAATCCCGGTGGAACCTTCATATATATTTCTTCTTCCAAATCACCATGTAGAAAATCATTCTTTACATCAAATTGTTGAAGCTGCCAATTGTAATTTGCAGCCAATGATAACAAAATCCTAATTGTATTCATATTGGCAACTGGAGCAAAGGTTTCTTGGTAATCCACTCCATAGGTTTGAGTGTAGCCCTTAGCCACTAATCTGGCTTTATACCTTTAACAGTACCATCTGCCTTGTATTTTACAGTGAAAACTCATTTACACCCCACTGGATTTTTTTCTTTAGGCAACTCTACCAGTTCTCATGTCTGATTTTTTTCTAAGGCCTCTATTTCTATTTTCATGGCTTGCCTCCATTTCTCACTGGATAATGCCTCGGATAATGTAGTTGGAACATAAATAGTATTTAGGCTCACAAGAAAATTTTTGTGGGATGGTGAGAATTTTTCAAATGATACAAAATTAGAGATTGGGTATAGTGGATGCTTGGTACATTCTCTGGTTCCTTTCCTAATAGCAATAGGTATATCATAATCACTAGTTATAGTTTTAGGAGATTCATGCTCATTTTGAGAAACAGAGTAAAAAATTGTAGTTACCTCATTTCTAGAGTTAGGATCAGGTTCTTGGACTGGCATTGGTTCAGGATCTGGAACTTTCTTTCTTGAGTATACCTGTAATTCTTTCATAAAATCAAGAACAATATTATCCTTTGTCACATCTTTCGTATTTGGAATGGGTTTAGACTCAAATTCAGTGTTTGACTTGGGCTCAGCAGAAACAGATTTCGACTCAGAAGAATTAATGGGTGTAAATGTTGAAGAAGGGGGTAAATCAAGCAAAAAGAAGTTTTTATCCTTATCTTCCATGAATGAAGTCTTCCCCTGAAGATAAGGTTGAGTAAAAAATGATTTATTTTCTTCAAAAGTGATATCTACAGACACATAGAATTTTTTGGTAGGAGGATGATAGTATTTATATCCTTTTTGAGTGGAAGAGTACCCCACAAAAATACACTTAATCGTTCTTGGATCCAACTTTTTCCTGTTATGACTGTGAACATGAACAAATGATGTATAACCAAATATCTTAGGTGTGAGATTGTTTGTGGTATTGAGGTTGGGATAAAATTGTGAGAGTAGTTTCATAGGAGTTTTAAATCTCAAAACCCTTGAAAGTAACCTATTTATAATATGTGTGGCAATGAGAACAACTTCCCCCAGTAAAATTTAGGTACATTTGCTTGAAAAAGAAAGGCTCGGGTTGTGGCTAGTAAATGACTGTTTTTCTTCTCTGTCATTCCATTTTGCTGTGGAGTATTAACACAAGATGACTCATGGATAATCTCCTCTTTTTGAAAATAGGTAGATAGACTCTGGTTGAAGTAGTCTCTTGCATTATCAGACCTAAATCTCTTGATTCTCACTCCAAATTGATTTTGGATCATGTTTTGGAAACTTAAAAACACACTATTCACATCTGATTTGGATTTAAGTAAAAAAACTCAAGAGACCTTAGTACAATCATCTATGAATGAAACAAATCATCTCGCACCAGAAATATTATGAATTGTAGAAGGACCCCAAATGTCACTATGAATCAAGTAAAATGGAGTAGAACTTTTTTTGTTACTGATTAGAAAAGACACACGTTTATGCTTTGCAAGTTCACAAACATCACAATGAAAATCTTCGACATTTAATCCTTGGAACAAAGAAGGAAACATGTTTCTCAAGGTTCCAAAAGAAAGATGTCCAAGACGAAAATGATAAAGTCAGATTTTGTTTTTATTGGAAGATTTTTCAGAAAGAAATGACAAAGGTAAATTATTCTTGATACTACTTGTGTTATTTGATGTCTCAAGATAGTATAGTCCATCCTTCTCTTTAGCAAGTCCAATCATCTTCTCTGAATTCTGGTCTTGAAATTCACAATAAGAAGGATAAAAAGTTACTTTGTAATTTTAAATTGGTTTAATTGATTTAAACCGAATAATGCTCGCCTAGATTCAAAGAGCGTTGCATTGACAAAGACAACACATGTTGCTCTAGGAATGAAGACTGAAGAATATTATTGGTATGGTTGGTCATATTTCATCGTCGTTACGTAGTGAATGCGCGTCGACTTTCCTCCTTTCAGTCTTAAACTGAGTAATTCTGGTCTCCTTGAAACGTAGAACTCTGGGCTTCAAAGGGTGAAAATGGTTAGGAATTGGGGTTCACATTTACCTGTTTTGTTTCGTGACCATCCGAAAATTGAAAAAGAACGGGGTATTTGCTTGCTCTATGGAAAAAGAAATCAAGATTTACCCGTGGATGCTCATAAATCAAACTTTATTGTTTTCGTCAATAATTTAAATCATGATATAATTATATGGTATAACAATGATAAAAATATATATATATATATAAATAATATGATTTAAAATTTTAATAAAAATTATATATAAATTTAATAAAATCAAAAAAATATATTTCATATTTTTTTATTATCATAAATTATAATATGTAATTTTTTATATAAATTATTAAATTTTATATGATATAAATATATGAATTATCAATTAAAAAAAATGAAGTAACAGTCTGAATAGAACAAAAAGATGAACACCATAAATCTAATACTTTCAACTCTTTTCAATAACTCTTAGAATAAAAGAATGGTCGTAGACGGTGAAATTTTTACAATTAAATTTAATTTTTTGAGGATATCTGTATAAATTTGGGATTGATTATTCTAATACTTAATTCTTAACGTGATGATCTCTTCAAGTTCCTACTTCCTCTGTACTTTTTATAATGTTAAAGTATTGGGATCGCATTGATTCTCACCTTTCTTTGGCAATGAAAATGTAAAAGTAAAATGTCAAGTGAAAATACCCATCAAGAAGCAAATAATGTCAAGTGAACCAATCAAGTGAAGTTTTTAACCGGCTCTACACTTCAATAACCGTAAAGGAAAGTCAAATTCAATTACGTTGAAAATGAAACCATGGACAAGTTCTGTAGAAAATCCTCCAATTATTCTGGCATAAATATCAGATTCTCACTCGTATTAGTGCAAAAAGCCTTTGAATCCCAAGCAAAGTGATCATGGCTATGCTTCAAGCTTTTTCACCAATTTTCTCTTGTAGTTCTTCCTCAAGTTCCTTTGGAAAAACCAAAGCCAATCTTTATAACCCAAATATTTCAGTTTCCGAATTCCTGAATGATGAGTTTAACAGAAGAAAAGGGTTGAAAACCTTGAAAACAACCAATCCCCTGGTAGAAATTAAGCCTGAACTTGGAAATAACAGCGTAAGCAAGGCAGAAATCTCTAATTCAATGGTGTTGCAAGAGATGTATGCTATTATGGATATTGTAGCAGAAATAGTTGAAATGCGCAAGAACATTGGACTATTGGAGCACAGCGTGATAACTGGAACTGGCTTCTGTTATTTTCTGTCAATGAAATGACAGTCACAGTGGCTGGAATTGCAGCTGTCGTTGGAGGTGGAGCATCATTTTTGGTTCTGAAACTATCTTCCAGTTTGCTTTACATTGCATCAACCGGGGTTTTGCTGGTTATGAGTAAGATACAGCCGTGTCAGTTGGCTGAAGAACAAAGAAATGCTTCAAGATTGTTTAAGCAGCTTCATGAGGAGATAAATACAATCATTGCTCTTGGAAACCCAGATTCAGATGATGTGAAAGCCGCAATGGAGAAAGTCTTGGCATTAGACGAAGCTTATCCACTTCCCTCGTTTGGAACCATGCTTGCTAAGTTTCCTTCACTGGTAAAACCAGCTCTGTGGTGGCCAGAAGCCAAGACTCAACACGAAAAGCTTAACAGGAAAGTGTTATAAAAAATAAATAAGAGAAAAGAAATAATATAAAAAAATTTTAGCTTTGAAAGCGAGTAAAACATTTTTTTAAAGGTAATTATATCTTTAAGATATAATAAAACCTCAAAGTCTCAAATATTATAATTAGAAGTAGTGAAAATAATTATACTGAAATATTTATTTATAATGAATGAATAAAATGATAAATTTTTATTCTGAATAGTTATGATCTTTGTATAATGCAAAAACGGTATCGAGTAATACTCTATTTATATTTAAATAAGTTATGATATGCAATATATTTTTATTCAAACAAATTATTTAAATATAAATAAATTATATAAAAATTATTTTATTAATCAATAATTAAATTTTTTTATCTAACTTAATATCATCACATCGAACTACAATAGTAGTAGAAACAATGGGTGAGATGAAAATTTAGTAAATTCTTTAGGTCATGTTATAGTGTTTTTTTTTTGTGTTATTTCATATTGTATGATAATATAGTGTTTAAATTACTATGTCTATTTTCGAACTTACGACAAGGAAAAGATAAGGAGAGTTGGATTATGATGCCCAAGCCCAGTTTTAGCCCAAGTTATCTCACAACGAACTCATTGCTATCCATCAACATGTAAATCGTTGACTTAAATTCACTATATTTTGACATGGGAATGTAGGAAAAAAAAAAAAATACAGAAAGCACTTTTGCTGCTTCAAAACTGAGCCTGCAAGTTATTCTGTTTCTCCTTGTTAATACATGTTGTGTCCATTCCTGTTAGTGAAGATATATTCTATTCTTCCTATAGAAATGTAAAGTGTAATTCCTTAATTGAACCAAAACTGAAGTTTTGAAGCAGATACCAAAATTTTAAACATGTTGTTAACATTTTCTATTGTAGACTTGGGTTTTGACTCCATTTTAACCCCATAAATTGTATTATAATTTTCTCAGAAACCATTGCAGTAGTTTTTTGAATACTTGATTGAGATGATTCATCTCTTGATTACTCTTGTTTCTGCTGAAATGGCTCTTGTTCTGGTGCTTCTGTTCAGGTCTCCTCTAAGGAACCTGGTGACCAAGGTATTGGACAAGATGAAGGAAGGGAGAGGCCCTGTGATTGCAAAGACAGTTGCAGGAACTTTGTTTGTTGTTTTTATCTCTATCTCATACAATATTATTGAGATCCAGAAACGTTCATTGGAAGGTGGTGTTCTCAATCCAACCGATGAGGTTCTAATGGCAAATCAAATTTTGGAAGCATCTCTAATGGGTAACTTACCACCATTAACTTCATTTGAAGTTCCTAAGGTGTATGAGTTTTAAGGTTTAACTATATATACTAGCATTTCCTATATCTGTGTCTATTTATTTCATATTAAATATGTATAAAATATAAAAATTACTGTATTATAATTCATATAGCATCAAACACAAAATCTGACTTAAAATTATATAATTTGACACAAATTTAAGATGTTAGATAGCAATCAATACTAAATTTCAATTAAGACTAAAATCCTGGATTAGTTTAACAGAGACAAAAAATGTATTCCATATTTTATGTCAACACGAATTATTACACGTAATTTTTATATAAAACACAATATAAATACAAAAATTATCAGGTCTAATATCAAATTATCAGCTCAATGGTATACGTTTTGAAACAGTTCCAATTACCTTTTAAAAGAAGTCTTCTAACATTCATATTAAAGGATTATATTTCAGGGTTTGCTCTATTCCTTGCACTGGTTACGTATAGATTACACTACTATATCAAAGAGCTTCCAAAAACAAAGAGATTGGAGGCAGCTGAAGAAACGAAATTAAAGCCTGATGTAAAGCATCATGATCTGAAAGAACATCCAAAGAGGGCAACAGCTTCAAGATGAAAAATTGATGTTAGAACTTAGAAGTAAACAGAATCATAAACATTTACCTCAGACAGGGTCATATGTTGTAATAAGATCAAAAATGAGAAGAATGAACTTCTGCAAATCTGCAATTTGATACATGGCGTTGGCTTAAGTTTTCAATATCTGTCCTTCACTGCCTTAACATCATCTAATTGCTCAAATTAAATGGCTATACACAGTTTTTCTGTTGTCGAATTCTCCTGCTAACTTTTGCCAACCAAACATTTCTTGAATCAAAAAAAATTTTTTTTTCTTTTGATTCATGAGAGAATAAACCAGACCAGACCTTTCTCAGAATTTGAATGAATTTTAACCTGAAACTGGAAAAATGGCACGAACTGGACCCAAACCAGAAGGCTACTATTGGATATACACAATTAATCAATTCATGAATAGTACTGGAAGAATGATTAACCTGCAGTTGATGGTTTTCAAAAGATGAGAATCTTCAATTTTCATAGCCTCGATTATAAATTACCAGGCTTTTTTATGGAACATAAAAGTTCAAGGTAAGAGGAGGCTTCCCATTTCAAGGTCAGGATAAACCGCAGAGAGAACTTGAATTAGATTTACAGATTTTCCATAAAGAAAAATTACTGGCAACGGGATTGAATCTAGGCTCTATAAACAAAATATTCCAACTTTACCAACTCAACCAACCCCGTTTGACAATTGCCAAACTTTTTCATAGTTTCATTGCTCATATAATTATCTGACAAAATTTTTTCTTTTTCTGAATGTGAAAGGCTAATACTTGGTCTTAACAAGTAATTCGCCTACCAATGATAGAAATGATGACATTGTAAAACGCTAATGCTGCTGAGTCTTCATTTCTCCATCAGTTGACTCAAACAAAAGTTGGCAAACTGAAACCATGTTGGTTTCTCCAACTTGTTGCACATCAGAGAAGACTTGACTTTGTTAAAAGTCATTGCCTGATAGATTGAAAAATGGAGTCAACCCCCTCTTCCAGTCTCTCTCAAGCACCAATCCTTCATTATCATCATCCAAGTTGATCACCGGCCGGTCATGTCTGCCTGCGAAGGAAATTTTGGAGAAATCAAATATGGAAGATTGGATTGGAATAGAACAAGAAATTTCATTGAATACTGTCTCAAAATTGAGATTGTCTGATACAAAAAAATCATCTGTTACACTATCAAATGCCAAAATACTGCTAAAATCAATAATATTTTCTA